TGAGTGAAATAAGTCAATTAGAGAAAGACAATTATATGATTTCTCTAATGTAAGGAATTTGAGAGGCAGGGCAGGGGGATGCAGGGGGTAGGGAAGGAAAAAATGAAAAAAGATGGGATCAGGAGGGAGACAAAACCATAAGAGACTCTTAATCTCACAAAACAAACTGAGGGTTGCTGTGGGGTGGAGAGCTAGGAATAGGGTTATGGACACTGGGGAGGGTATGTGCTACGGTGAGTGCTATGAAATGTGTAAACCTGATGATTCACAGACCTGCACCCCTGGGGCAAATAATACATTATATGTTAATAATAATTTTTTAAAAACCCACCCAACTAAACTGCCCCCAAATTCTGAACACATAGAAACCATGTGAATTAATAAACACTGACTGTTGTTTAAAAAAAAAGATTATCTCCTTCTCCTTCTCCCCCTCCCCCGGCTCCTACATACACTCTCCTCCCCAAAACCTAAATTAAATAAATAAATCATTAAAAAAATATATTACAAGATAAACTGACCTCGTTGTGTTTTTGAAAAGGAAGATATTCCTTGATTTTCATAACAATTACTGGTATAGCATATTCCACTCTTCAATTAGGTTCATGCTTGAGATGGGATTCTAAAGTATTATTTTAATAAGATATCCCAGATCCCAGACAAATGCAAAATAGCTTTGTTTTTCAAAGTAATGAAATATAAATTAGCTTGAGAAAATGCCCAATGCTAATAATGCTACATTTACACAAAAGATTTTTAAAACTTTGTTATTTTCAGAATCAAAAACATCTTTTTAAAATCTCTCGAGCAGCTCATCTTCATTCCCAGAGGGTTTTTAACTTGTTTTTAGTAACCAAAAGTATACCGGAAGCATTTGTAATAATTAACATACTAATTTGTGATATGTTCTTTCTTCTACTCCTGGGTGTGTGGTTGGAGTGCCATCTGTGGCCACTGATCTCCATTCTAGGCCAACTAAACTAGAACGTAGTTTAGTTTCTTTCTAAACTACACTTTAGGAAGAAAAATCTACCAAAACAACAACAACAACAACAACAACAAAAGTTGCTCTCATTCTCACACATGATGATAACTAAGCTAGAGGGACACAGTTCTGAAGAACAAATGCCACAAAGTAACAACATGATACCTTGTACTCTCAACAGGACAAGCAGCATGAGGTAACAAGTGGTGAGGTCATAGTAACAGGGCTAAAATAATGTTGAAAAGCCAAGCAGTGCTGTTGATAAGCGGAAGAAGAATTGGGAGAGTCTGGGAGAAGGCAACGTCAGGTTGGTGGGCGGGGGACAGGTTTGGGGAATCACCACCAGCAACATATGCCTTTACATACTGGTGCAAAGATAAGTAACCATCATTGGGGTACTTAATCCACTGGTTGGGAGGGTGGTTATTTATCTTCTGTAATTTCAAAACATGATTTCTAAGTTTAGTACATCATACACAATTCAGAGCAGGAACTATGTATGCTTGACTCAAATTCCAAGAACTTGCAGAGAAAGATGAATTGTGCTTATCATCTTTTGGCCTCCTATTCTGGCAAAGATTTCTTCCATTTTTCAACTCCCAAGTGCAGAAAACTAATATACAAATTCCATTGCTATGAAACGATTTACCAGAAATCTTCATTCTCTTATTGTTTTCTAAGGAGGACAAAACTGTGTTTTAGACACAATCCTAAAACATACATATGCTGATATTGTCCTACTTTGAAGCTTTATTTATTTTAAAATATTCACCAGGAACTCTGTGATTATCTTCAACAAATCTGTAAAACAGATAATCTGCCTGTTGTGAAGACACTGCAGTAGGCAAAGGCACTAATCATAAATAAATAAATAAAAGGTCTAACATTTAACTACCCAAAATACTGTCATATATCTGATTTATGCTTAATCTTTTTGCAACATTAAACTTTTACCTACCTTCTGATTAAAGAAACACCTATTAAATGAAAAAGTCTTAACATATAAGGACTAGGAAAATGAATTGGGTAGATTTTAGTATATATTATCAGATTTGGGGTTTTTTTTTTAATTGAATGGGTCACTTTCATCAATGTAAAGTAAGTAAATTCCTCCTCAACTAGGAAATACTCTAAATTTCTTACCTATGAGCTTTTATAAATATTTACCAGGGCAAGCTGGGGCACCAACAATACAATAAAAAACAAAACCAAGGTCTCACATCTAATTAAATATAGCTTACCATCAGAGGTAAGACTACTGAGCTGATAATCCTGCTTTGGATATCTCAAGTCTTTTCTGATTGAGGTCAGTTTGGCAACCTCGATTTATAAGACTGATTTTCATCTAGTTTCTCAGCTCATCATTACCAGAACTTGGGTCTCTGCAGTTCAGTACATATACATGCTCCTGGAAATAAAGTTTTATAAAACCATATTGTGGGATATAATCATGACATCTGCTATTCTGTTCTTTTCCGCTTCACTTAATTAGGGGAGAAAGGCAACAACTTATTACACTGACTCCAGAATGGGCTGCTATGGAAGTCTGAAGACACAGATCTATAGATAATAAACACCAGAATGTATGCCAAGGGGCAGTATAGTACATCACTCTATTTGATAAAACAGACTTGATTAATGCCACCCAAAAGCTATTATTATGTTCTCCTATTCTCCTCTACTCCTTAGATACTCTCCAGTAATAACCTTCACTTCAAAGCAAGGGGATTGCAGGGTGATCCTTGAAGGTGATAAAGAGCATGGCATACCAATACAAGCCACAAACTGGAACCTATCCTGGTCACTTCTTAGCAAGGCATAACAAGACAGAACTAACAGTACCTGTGAGGGACATCTGTGACTATGGTAGGCAACTACTAAAACAACCCAATCAACATACACATAAATGGGTATATATTTTGTTTATTTCTGCATTTTAAAAACTTGAAAGTATTTTTAAAATACTCTTTTCTACACTGAGTGCATGCTGATATTTTATTTTCTATTCTAGTATGTATTCCTAATGCTGGTCCTTCAATTCATTCAATGATGAATTGATTTCTTGACCCACTAATGAGTGGGTTAAAACCTGCAACTTGAAAAACATAGCTTTAGAGACACAAATCAACCCAGCAGGCTAAGAGGACAATAGATACATTACAGGTCTCTATTGGCCACCTTTCACTGATGAGAAAAAGCCCAAAGAATTGAAAACATCAAATAGTGATTGTTTATTTAGCTCTAGGAAGATCATATGAGAATGTGTAAGACTAAAGAGAAGAAAAATATTTAATAGTACCCTCCTACTCCCCTCACCAAATAAACAAGTTCCTGATCTGATATGTAATAGTCATCACCACTGTTAGTCTAACACTGGCTTCCTGTATGTATAACTTATTGATATAGGCAGACATTATTATATAGAGATACATACATATTTCATATACACACACATATAAAATGCATTAACATAAATCATATATGTATATGTTTATGTTATTATATGTTTAATATACAAATTTAAACTTTTTTTCTAGATCATTTTTATACCCTGTTAAAATAATAAAGTTAAGTGTTAGATCTGAAACACAGGTCAGTTGGCCCCCAAGTCTAAGCTCTTAACCACTAAGCTATAAACCCTTCCTAGGAGTTCTCAACCCTAGCTGTGGATCAAGAATCCTGAGTGGAGTTAAAACAAAACAGATGCTCAAATGCTACCCCAAAAAAGGTATTTTAAGTAGAAGTAGCAAATATTATAGAGAATTACATTTTATAAACAATGTATCGAATCTCATCTCTAACCCATTATGTCAGAAAAGATCTTTTTTGGAGAGCAGACGCTACTGTGTGCCATCAGACATAAAATACCTAGTTGAAGTGAATGACTACCTTGGTTTATAAGCTGCCTACTTTACCTAGAAACTTGATTAGATCACTGTCATTATAGACTGGAATTTAACATAAAGCAGTTTTGTCTTAGGTTTAATAACTAAATTCCATTTAGAATTTAACTGCTGACATATCAAAAGGATTTTAACATAAGATAGCCTAAGTGATAAAAATTACAGACTGCACTAGTGTATGTCTGTTAAATTTATCTATCCATGATTTAAACCATTACCTTCCCAACAAACTTTTCTTTACTATCCTAAAGATAAAAAATTCTGAACTTAATGTAACATTAATAAATTCTGCATTCTTCCTGGGTTCACTCACTTCCACCATCCGTAAGAAAACATTTAGTTGCAAGCACACAGTACAAAATTAGGAGGTTTCCAAGATTTCAAATAATTAAAAACTGGTTTTGACTACATCAGTCAAATAAAATGTACGAACATAAAAACCTTAACAATTTTTGACAGCTAAGTGGGTAATATGAAACCTAGAATTACCACTATTAGCAACCACAAATAACAGGGGGACTACATATCACAAACACATAAATAATTAATTGCATACATACAATTAGTGAAGCAATAACAATCACTGTTAATAGGGAGCCATGCATTTTCTCTCAGGAAAAATTCTTTGGAAAAGACAAAAAGCACGAACTATAAATGGTCCATGTAAGAATTATTTTATTTGGTCGAATTAAGGCTCCAACTAAAGCATTCATCTATTTCCTATTCAGGCCATGAAATGACAGCACTGGAAAGAAACTAGTCTGTGATGTAAACCACAAAGCTAATTACAGACCAATACATGAATAATACCTAAACTATCTGGTGAAAGAAAGTACAGCCCATTACTATTAAAATCCAGGGAAAATATTTACCCCAGTGTCTTCTATAACTGTATCTCAAAGAGGGGAGGAAGGGAAGGAGAAATCACTCATCAAGCTTGTGATATATGGGTTTTTTTTTAACAAAATAAAAAGTACTATTACCATAAATCTATAACCACATCTATAATCTAAATATTAAAATCTCTTAAAATATGTGATAACTAAATACAGAATCATGAGCGTTCATTCTATCCATGACCCTGGGGTCACTGGGAGATTTCTAAAGCATACCTTTTAATCCACGCCATGGTACTTCAAGAACATGTTAAGGTAAGTCACAGCTTGGAACACTTCGATGCACCTCAAAACACCTCAGCCAGTGTATCTGTATCATTCTCCTTTCCTTTTGAGATCATAATGGTTCCGAAGAACTACAATGCTTCCATGTGAATGATAGTCTCATAATTTCAATGACTTAAAAACAAAAACAAAAAAATAAGGACTTAAGTGTCGGTGTGTTAAGCCACTAGAGCACTGTTAACTGCTGCCCTGACTAAGAAAATCAAAGAGGTTGCTGCTGCTGCTCTGTCACCCTGTCGTTTTTCATGTGAACCCTCAGATGAATGAGGAGTACGTGCTTTGGAGTGGTCGGAGTGACAGCTTTTGCTTTATGGAGATCCATCAAACCCCCACAAATCCCTTGCCCCAACAGATTCTTCAGTTCTTCTGAAGAAACGAAAATAACCTAAAAGACAGGTCTGAACACTTGGTAGGTGCCTATCGTATTCTGTGTTGGATGAGAGCTGGAAATCACCCACACCCCTGCACAAAAGGGAACTCATTAATAAAATAGCAGGGGTTCCTGCCCAACCTGATGTTAATTATGGAATCATTTTAATTCCACTGAAGTCATAAAACTGAAATTCCATGGAGCTCCGGTTTTTAAAGCTTACTTTTTTTTTTTTTAAGATTTTATTTATTTATTTGACACAGAGAGAGATCACAAGTAGGCAGAGAGGCAGGCAGAGAGAGAGGAGGAAGTAGGATCCCTGCTGAGCAGAGAGCCCGACATGGGGCTTGATCCCAGGACCCTGGGAACATGACCTGAGCCAAAGGCAGAGGCTTTAACCCACTGAGCCACCCAGGCGCCCCTAAGCTTACTTTTATTAAGAGTATGCACGTATCAATGGACAATAGATGGCTAACAATCAAGTCGTACTGCGGTTCTGTGACTGCCTTGGCAGGTTGTCTGTCCCCCTTTCCTCCTCACTCCAACCCACCTTTGTTATATAAGAACATTTAAAACATTTGGTTATTAAAATGATAGGATAAAAGTTTGTAGGTCACATTTTAAATCTAAGAATTCACTCTCCTTTTGCCTCAAGCTTGGCACTCTATAATAGTTACCAGAAGGAATAACTGAAGCTACACAAAGTAAAACTAAATTACCAATACTGTATTGCTATCAATTACCATACAAATTTGTCATAAAGCAATTAAAATTACCTTATGATGGCTGATGAGGAAATTTTTAATAAAAGCAAGCCACAAAAAGGGCTTCCAAAGGGAAAAACAAAGTTACTGGTAGAGGTCTGTTAAACTCTGGGCCTGTGGAACAGCCTGTGTCACGTTAACAGACAAGAAATGGAAAATGACCAATCTCCCAGCTAGAGCTAAAAGGTATGTTGTAAGGAGAAAGTAGAACCATTTCCTGCTTGAAAAAGTAGATTCAACTGATGAAAACCTTTCATAGTCCGATGTCAGAAAATTACATATTTTTGAGATTTAGATTTATTGCAGGTTGTGGGGAAAGCAGATTACAAAATGTAGGCCACTCTTCAGAAACCTAATAATAGTGGCAGGATCTCATATAGGAAAGAACTCTACTACAACAGGCAGGAAGAAACTAATGAAGAACAGAATCAAGAGACCTACCAGGTCCAGTGAAATCATTATAACCACAGCGATCTTTTTAAACTGATAGTTACCCCCGCACCCTTCCCACTTCAGCTTGAAGCCTTTCACAGGGTCTGTATGCATTAACAACTACCTGGAAGGGCACTGTCATTTCTTCCTACATTCTGCTCCTCCAAATAAATGTGCCCTCCACCCAACTATCAGGTTAATGTTCTCAATTACAGCTCTTCTCCCTTGCACATAAAAATTAATGTCAACTATTGGGAAATAAAGCAAGTTATAATAAATACGCTAGATAACAAAGAGAAAAGACTAGATCTGGAGCACTCGCTCATTATACCATTTAATTTTCAGAACTTCATTTTATAGAAGAGAAAATGAACTCTGTGGTCAAGTGACTGATCCAAGAAAGATTGCAGTAAAAGAACTAGAACTTAAATCTAGATCTTCCAGACAGAGTATCAGCACTTTTGTACTACAGTATTATTGTAGAATACTGCTGGGGAAAGCGATGGTACTGAGGCTAACACTTATCGACACTATGCCATGAACTGTGCCTAGTGCTTCATGTTATTTCATCCTGATCTACCACTCCTAAGACTGACAGGGTGTTTGCCTCCTTTTACATGGAGGAGATCGAGGCTCAGAGAGATTTAAGTAATCTGCTATGCTAATCTATCTTCCAGGAAGAAATCACATCCAACAGTTAACGTCTGTTTTTCAACCTGGCCTATAAACAATAATTTAATTTTAGAAAGCATCTCACTCAAAATCTAGTCAATGTGTGTAAATGAATTTGTAAACAAACTGCATACACATTTAGTAAAGCCACTAAGAATTAGGATCACATATTATCACTAAAGTCCAGAAACTCCATTTGATTCCTACAAATGACATCTAGCATTTTCATGAAGTTATATACTTGAAGATCTTTTAAAGATAACTTGAAAATCACAGCAGATATCAATATAAATTTTAGGTGACCAAAAAAAATGAACATGAAAAGTATTCTCCTTAAGAGGATACACTGCTGGGGGGCCTGGCTGGCTCAGCTGGTAGAGCCTGTGACTCTTGATCTCAGAGTCATGAGTTCAAGCCCCACATTGTGTGTGAAGCCTACTCCAAAAAAAGAGAAAAAAAAAAAAGGTCTACCGCCACATTTTTCCAACTGGGTCCTGTCCCTTAAACTGCTACCAGTATAAGCCTCAAGGGAAGAGAAATTTATTAGCTGAGGGAGGTGAGGTCATTCAGTCAGGTTATCACTAATTAAAAATACAAACAAAATAAAACAGAACAATAACAACAACAAAAGCTGATGGACAGCTTCCTTCAGTGCTTCAAAACATTATTAAACTAAAAGAGAAACAAAAAGCACTGAAAGAAATCCCCCAAATTAAGAACAGGAAACTCCTAAGCAACTTCAAATTTGAATGGAAACCATGCATGGAAACCATGTATCCATACTGCATGCCACTATTTGGTAACAAGTTAGATGACTCAAAGTAACCATTTTTAAATTATTGAAACAAAGTGTTATGGAATTATTACATTTAACAGTCAAACTGTTACAGTAAAAAACCTAAAGGGTCTTTTAAAAAATATCTTCATCAGTAATAGCACTAAGCCTTCTGCAGAACTCATTTTATTAATATGCCAAATAATGGATTATAATAGGAATTCCCATTAGAAAATCTGATGCCCAACCACATACTTTTAATTTCAAAATTAATGTGTATTAAAGTCTATGCATCTGTCTACAAAACATTTCACTTCTTATAAAAGAGACAAATACATTTCCACGCAAATTGTTACAGACTCCTTCACTATGCTATGTCCAATAGGGCAGCTGCTGTCTTTCTCGTTCTAAGCCCATTATCTAACTTCCAGAGACCTGGAACACACTAGGCACCAATGATCTAAGTACGTGAAAATGTTATACGCCCCATTTTGGATACATGACTGACAACTAAAAAAAGAAAGTTCATGATATGCACTAAAACTAACAGGCACACAAGTATTTGAGTGAGTGAAAAAAAGTATTTAGGAATGGTTTATACATGCTACAATGACAATATTAAGAACAGATTTTGAAGGAAGATGGTTTAACACAGAACACCATTTGTGACGAATGAATTTTGTTTTGTTTGTAACTACTGAATATTTACCATATAACATTTCTGAAGGTAGATCAGCACTACTGCTAAAGCATAAACTTTAGAAAATTAGAAATAGATACCACTAACTTGAAATTTTTATGCTTTATAAACAGCCTCACATAGTAATCTGAAATGACAATAATGAATGCATTAAACATTACTTACTAAGGAAGGACTAGGAAGTTCTTTCTGACAACCTAAGAACAGTGAGATTATGGCATATCCATACAATGGAAATTATAGTCAATGATACTGAAATCTGGAATGTAGTAATATGCTAATTATATATGGTTACTCAACCATACTTAGTTATTTTCCCACATTAGGTATGTCTGTATATATTTATATATTTAACAAACATAGAATATTGCAAATATATTTATAAATATCTAAGTTCCATGAGATCAGGAACCATTTCAGACATACCTCCAGCACTTACCACAGTGCCTTGAGAGAGGTGTCTTTGCACAGGTGACTATTTAAAGCTTGGTGGTTAGAAAAAAAGGGCTCTGAATAAAAGACTGGCTGGTTTTGAACTGAATCCCAGATTCACAACTTAGCTATGCAATTTCAGGCAAGTTAATAATCACTAGGCACCTTAGTTTCTCCTTTTGAAAAACTGGGATAAAAATAACATTCATGTAATGGAAGAAAACAATGAGTTAATACATGTAAAGGCTTTAGAACAGTACCTGGCACACAGTGGTATGCCAATGAATGGGAGATGGGGTGGAGAAAGAGAGGCAGTGCGTTCCCAAATACCAAAGTAAATGAATGGACACTGTCTTTAAAATACAGACAGAAATGCTAGAAGCATATACAAATATTAAATAGTTTTTTCAAATTTTGCTTACCATAACCAAAAGTAGATTTTTCGATAACAATCTGATACACACTCCAATAGATATACTGTATCTTATTCTGTCATAAATTTATTTAAATGCTAGTTATAACCCACTAAATTGATTTCATGACAACTAGCAGGTCACTTTCTAAGCCATGGACTCCTATGTTCTCCTTTATTTTTGTCCTTCAGCTTCATGTTTCTAAACACAGGGCAAGAATATTTACCCATTAAACCAAGAATCTAAGGTCAGAAAACATTCCAAAAAAGTCTTTGTCACATATTTTTGTTTTATTCTTCCTAAATTCTACTCTTTACTCTTAAGCCACCAGAAATTTTAACAGAAAAAATTTAAGAGATTAAAAGCTGATACAGAAATGCGCCAGCTTTAACACATACCTAGGTAGACTTACTCTTGAGAAAATTAAATTTGGGCAAGAGAAGAACACTAAATTAAGAAAGGTATGAAAGAACACGGGTTACTGGTTTTGGTATTTAAGTGAAGAACTACATTCCCACAGGGTCTTTTCCTGATCCAGCTTCTGGTCTCCTCCTAC